TCGAAGGAGAAAACTTTGATTTCTCGATGATAATTGGCGAGAACACGAGGAGAAATATCGATTTGGAATTGATTTTGCACTTAAGTGCAAGAGTTTGGCGATGTTTTTAGGCTGATCGATTTTATTAACTCGTTTAATAATATTATTCGTTGAATTTATATTGTAAGTTCTAGTAAATCGCAACACGTGTATTTTTATAATATCAATTTTGTTTTGTTTATTAAATAAACTTTATTACATTATCAATTATAACGTTTATTATTAATTAAATTATATTTGATAAATATTTAATCGATATACCTCGTTTCTATCCTATTTTTAAAATAATAATTTAATTTCCTTACATTCGAATCCTAATATTATATTGTTTTTTTCAGTTGGATATTAAAATTTTTTTCAACTCAAAAATTCACCAAAAAGAGCGGAGTATATTGAAAAAATAATTTTTCTTACGGAAAGAATAGTTGGAGAATTCGAAATGATTAAGTTAGATTGATGAAGATTAATCATCAGGCAGAAGATAACAAGTAAAGCAAGGGCAGGGCGTATTGTTAATTGGGTCATTCGTAACGTTTGAATGACAGATGGTTTGCTTGTTACGATTTGTGACGGATCGTAAATGCACCCGCTGCTCTTAGACAGATTTAAGAGATTTATCATATTCGCGTGGCAAAAAATTAATAATAGACGAGGCGTGTCTGCGTTAATAATTTTAATAAAGGGAAGGAAAAAATTCGTGACTGATTCTACATACTTTTTTTTACAATACGAATATCAAAAGTTTCGTTAAAAAAAAAATATGTCGATCGATAGAATATACATATCGTATTCGATAAATATTCGAGAGAAGCGAAGCGAGTGATGACTGATAAAAACTGAAAATATAAAATTCCATATAAAAAAAATATGAAAAGAATAAATTTGAAGTGACAAGTTTCTGTAAGGGACTTCATTTTGTATAAATTGATATTGAAAACATTATATGCTATATGCATAATATATAGAGTTGTTCGATTATGCTCTGCAATTTCCCAGGTTTTTTCGCAGTTAGAGACGTAGACGAGGCGATATTCGATCAGAGATTAATTCTCTCGAGGTTTTTGCTAAGTATACCTCAGTATGTACACCGTTTCGAAATACGTACAAGCATACGCTTTTACGAGGCTGGATAAATTAATTTCGATCTAATCTTCTTATTGAAATTCCATGTAGCTCTATAATATACACTCGTACCTTTATTATTATTATTATACGATACGGAGTATTTATTTAGAATTTCAGGTAAAGGTATTTTTAAACCTTAAATCATGATTTTGAATAGAAATTGTATCAATTTCAAAAAAAAAAAAAAAAATACTCATTGTAACTCTTATATTGATTTTGAAAACGATAATTATCGTTCATTACGTTTAAAATGTTCCAATAATAACATTATTCTGAAACGTTGAATTCTTGTTTCGAATAATTATCATCTATGCGAGTCAAATATTTTCCCAAACACGCTTTGACCGTCCCCCCCAACGATAAATTTGTTACGGTAATATGATATATAATTTATATGATATATAATTTTCGACGTTATAAAACATGCAATATAATTTCTTAATATCATTATTATTCACCAGTAATCAGACATCCATTATATAAATTTAATTTCCATTTTTAAAAGAACTTTATTATTTGATTGAATAATGAAACTGAGTTTGAAAATATCCGATTATAGATACATTTTGGGAAAGAGAAATTTCCAGACGATGTATTTCCATCCAAACATCTACAATATATTTCCACAATGTGTTTTGTTGGAAATATAATGATAAAAAAAAATAGATGATCGATCGTTGTAATAAATTGGCGAAAATTGTCGATAAAACAAATTTATCAGCGCGACTCTCTCTTTTCAATTGTCCCTAATTTTTCTTTTCCTCGAAAATTCATCGTTTTATGAGTGAGAGATTCGTCTTTACTCTTCGTGTATTTCATTTCTGATTCATTTTTACCTCGAATAAAAAATTTCAAACTCTTTTGCAAGGATCAGGAAGAACGACTCACTTCTTTTCGAAAGAAAAGAATATTATTACGATCCGCTGATAGTCCTTGGATTTTCCCCAAAACGTTGCCTGCAAAGTTTTTATCTTTCACGTATTCCATTTCTGATTTATTTCAAATTCCTTTACACCATCAAGGAGATCAAACTTTTCCAAAGAAAAGAATACTATTATAATCCACTGATACTATAGAATCCCTGGATTTTCCCCAAAACGTTGCCTACAAAGTTTTTAACTTTCACCCATTCCATTTCTTCATTCAAATTTACCTCAAATTCTTTTGCACGATCACGAAGAACCACTCGCACTTTTCGAAAAGAAAGAATACTATTACGTTAGATTCTTTATATATATCATATATACTGTTACTTTGCTATTATACTCGAGGATAAAAAAAAAATTTCCAATCCTTTTACTCAAAGATCGAGTCATCCTTTCCTCCCCCCCATCAAAATTCGAAACAACGACGTCAATAATAATTTAGACGAATCGCGCACGAACACTCGAACGCGTTACACAAATTATCGAAAGTTTACAAGTCGAGAGAATGGAACGTTACATACGCGTGACGACAAATTTCCCCTAGATTCGCACGAATGGAAAACGAGTACGCGTTTCCAGTCACGTAGCCAGGCCCCTCGTGTATTTCTTGGCCAAGGGCTGTTAATCGGATACGAAGAGAAAGAGAGAGAGAGAGGGAAGATTGTAAACCATTTCGTTTATTTTCGTCAACCGAGTTATTCCGGGAGACTCGAATCGGGAACGGATCCCTTCCCATTGTGCCTCTATTATCGCCGCCGTTTCACCGAGTTTCACCAGATTTTCCCCCAGCTTTTGTCCTCTATTCTACGCGTGTACGATTTTCATTAGGAGGGGAAACGTCGCTCTCTTCGTGGAGCGGAGAGGGGGACGAGTGGAGGCGATTGGTCGGCGCGGAGAGGAAGCGAAAGAGGAGATTGCGGCGAAACAGGGATATGGAACGTCGTCGTATGTGTGTGTACGAGTTTTACAATTTCATGTGGCTCGTGTAGGTGTCCTTGCGTGAACTTTTATGTTGATTTAATGGTTTGTTTATGTTTGGTATCTTTTCGAAGGTGGATTCGAGAAGATCGCAGTATTTGGGATCGTTGTTGGTAGATTATTACGGAATTCGCGGAGTGGAATATCGAAGCGAAGTTATTGAAGAGGATAGGATAAATAAGAATAACGAAACGTGTTTAGCGGGGTTGGAAAGACGAGATATGGTATGGAGAGATTCTTGAGATTGGAAGGAAAAGTTAATTTGTTAGAAAGTTTCTAGTAGTAATTTCTGTCCCTCTTCACGTGCGTTTCGACGATTTATTTTAAATTATTCTTCGTAAATTGAACGGATGTTATAAATATTTTATTATTTAAATATAGAAGAGAGAAAGCCCGAGCCAATTGGGAATCGTATGTATATAAACGTAATATATGTATAAAATCCTACAAATTGAAAAGCTTAAACCCACGTAGAAATAAGCCAGGATTGGGTATGGAAAACCCTAGAGGAATATAAATCCTCAATTCTACTAAATTTAGTAACAGCCCATTAAATTTAAATTTACATATTACGATGGAATGAAAGCGGCTTTTCAAAGACACGTGTTCGAACAATATACTTGAAGAAAAAAAAAAAATTAGCGAAAATAAAAATTTTCCAAATTTATTCTTCTAATTATAAATTTTTTCAAAGAGAACTCGAAAAAGAATTCTTTGACGAATTTTCGAAAATTAAAAAAAAAAAAAACAACATCGGATAAAGCCTCTTTCCAAAGATATATATATATAAATATATTTTCTACTCTGAATATTTCAACATTTGTTACGAATATTTATCGTGAATTTCAATTTCACGCCCTTCCCTTCAAAGATTACTCCTCTCCATCGCATCTCCATTGCGGGGCAAATATCAAATTCGCGTGCTCGGCCACAAAAGTTGCATATGCATCAAATTCGTAATTTCTATTTTCGACGTGACTTGGTGCAGAGAAATTTCGTTGCGACACGCGGATTATTTGCGTTGTGACGGATACGCAATGTTTCGCGCCGTGACCAAATAATAGAATAGAAGACAGACAGTGTGTGTGCACATCGACTTTGGACCATTGACACGACACGGCTCAGAAACTCTCTCGCGCGAAATAAAGTCGCGATGAATCATGCGATTTGTCTCGCGCTCCTTCCTCGACCGACCACGCTTTGGAAAATCAACACGAGACAAAGATTACAAATGTCTTTTCTCTTTCTTTTTTTTTTTTTTTTTTTTTTGTTCAATTTCTCGTCAACACTTTGCTTTGATATTCATTACATTACATTTGACATTGGAGTTTGAAAAAGCTAATGGAATTGAATTTTATTTTTTTTTTTTACAAAATAAGTAGACTAATGTTTCTATTAGAAAATTCGCTGTGTTAATCCTTCTGATATTGCGTGCAAGCAATCGTTCTGTAAGATAATCGTCGGTATTTTTTTTATTTAAAATATATCTATGATAAGTAATTACCCTCTTAATATCGAGTCAATTTAAACACACGACAGGACACGATTAATCATCCGACATTCTGTGATAAAAAATCGCAAATCCATTCCCCGTTTAATTAACCAAAACAAATAGCACCTAAGTCTAATATACCCGCATCTTCCAACATGATCGTTGAAAACGTGCTAATGCGTGATAACAATGATAACTCTTCCTGTTATCCGTCAAACGCGCCCATTCCTACTTTCTAATTCCTGAAGAATTATTTACGAGAACGAATTTAATTTTTGGAAATTGCAGCTCGATTTCTCGTTATTTTCGGTGATCGAGAGCCGAAAAATTCCATCAAAGCATACGTTAAACCATAAACTTCCATCGATATAAATTTGTTCGATTTACATAATATCGCAGATAAGAATTTTCGAGAGAGAATATATTGGCGTCACTCTTACCTCTTTGCCTGTCGTACGCGTTTATGCATTCGCTGGTCATAAATTGGCTGATCAGGGCGGTTTTCCCGACACCCCTCGCGCCGAGTATCGCGACCGTGTACGAGGTGATCTCTTTCGCAGGAACTGAATTCTTTTCCTCGCCTTCGGGATCCGTGGGTGCGAGCGAGTTCGACCTTGATCTTCTCCTTCTGAACGAATCGCCCCTGTTGATGATACCTGCAACGCGACAATATATTCATAATTATTTTCCTTTTAAATTCTTTTCAATTGTTTTCGTATTTGGAGAAGTTGAAATGAAAAAAAAAAAAATTGATAATTTTTGAAGATTATTTTTATGAATGAAAATAATTGGAGAGAAGAAGAAGACTTAGATTCGAATTTTACTTTACGTTTCTCGCCTTTTCCAAGCGAATAAGAGCTTGAACGATATCCTTCGTGATTGGAAAGCAAAGATTAAATAAATAAGAGAGAGAGAGAGAGGAGAGAGAGAGAGAGAGAGAGAGAGAGAGAGAGAGAGAGAGAGAGAGAGAGAGAGAGAGAGAGAGAGAGTAAG